CCCCCCCGGAGCCCCCGCCCCCGTGCCCCCCCCCCCCCGCACCCCTGCGCTCCCAGCTCAGGCTGTTTGCGGAACCTCACACCCAGCAGTGTGTTCCTTGCCCTTCTGGAGACAGAGGCGCCTGCAGTGACCTGCGACCCAGGAGATGGGCGTTGGCCTGGTGGCAGGTCTGGTCACAGGAGCAACTGTCTTGGAAGAAGACCAAACTCTACTGGAAGCTATTTAAGGGGCTCGGAGGTGACTGAAATGGAGTGTCTGAGCTGAATGACGCAGCTGTTTTGGAAGTTACCATGTTTGTTCGTAGATTTCTGCATCTGAGAAGGTTTCTGCAATGCATCCTCAGACAAAAGCCTTCATTAGTCCACTGACCAGTGCTAAACACTGTCCTGTTCTGCCACCTAATGATAAAGTCCAAACTCATCCACAGATGGACGGAAGCAGAGTGGGGTTATTGTGGGCCTATGATGGAGGGGGCCTCTGCCCTGCCGCCCTGCAGGTCCAAAGAGCACCATGGGACATCCACGCATTTCAACAGAAAGGAACTTGCCTGGGGTCTTGAACGGAGAAGCCCTGACTACTGCCCTCAGAGGGTGAGCGCTGGCCGCTCCCTCCCTGACCTGTCCTCGCGGCATCTTTCACGGGGGGCAGGCCCGCAGCCCGCAGCCCGCAGCCCGCAGCCCTCAGCCCTCAGCCCTCAGTCCTCAGCGCAAGGCTGGGGGATGTTTCGTTTCGATTCCCTCTGAGCTGCTCAAGGGGCCGTGCCCGCTGCAGGGCCTCCGGAGCCTGGAAGATGCTACACCCCCAAACGTGACCTGCCCCTTGCCTGGAGCACAGAGGTTTCATGTTGTGAAAAGGTTTCTTTTATAAGCTGGTTTTCTACTACTTTACTTTTTCCTCTAAAAGTCAAGTGCAAACCACCGATGGATTGAGGCTCCCAATCACGGCAGCTTCACGAGCCTTCTAAATTCCCCTCTGCTGTGTCAGGCCTCAGGGGCGGAAAGCCAGCACAGTCCATGCTGTAATTGGGGAGGTCTGGAATTTCCTGCCACAGGTCAGAACGAACATGTGTGCGGACATACCTCTCACTTGCTTCACGCTCCTCAGGGCATACTTCAGGGTGGCCAATGTGCTGGCCTTTCCCTTGGCCTTCCTGTCCGCGGGGAGGTGGACCTTCAGCTCCTTGAGCGTTTTGATCAGCTCCTGGTGCGAGTCCGCCTTGGCGGACTGGTCACTGCTGCGGATGAAAGGAGGCGGTTAGTGCCCTCTGCGGGGGACACATGGCTCCAGTCGAGCTCCCCAGCCAGGGCACGCTTCGGTCTGTGGTGCTTTGTGGCCCACTGCAGGATGGTAGCGGCATCCTTGGCCTTAGCTACCGGAGGCCAGTGGTAACCGTGCCAGCTGTGACAACCGAAAATGTCCCCAGACATCGCCATCTGTCTCTTGGGGGAGAAGAACTGCCTGCAGCTGAGAACCGGCGCCCTAAGCCGAGTGCAGGGGTGAGAAGCCCCCCAGCTGGGCTCTTTCCTGCGTGGGTGTGACCTGGGTGGTGCCAGCGAGGCCAGCGGGGCGACCCGCAGTCTGCTGAGTGGAGCACACCGCTGTGCTGGGCCTTTCTCCCATCTTAGGGAGAAGAGCCTCGAGTGACGGCGACTACAGAGGACGGCAGTGGCTCCCTGGGGCGTGGACGCAAATGGCGAGCGCGGGAAGACCTCTAAGGAGAGACCTATAGAAGGGCCTTCGCACTAAGGACAGAGGGGGAGGCGGGGCGGGTGGCGGGGCCCGTTCAGAGCAGGGGACGCAGAAAGAACGGTGGAAAGCAGGGGTCTGACGAGATGGCAGCCCCCAGGCCCAGGGCTGGAAGCTGGGGGTCGCTCCAGGGGTGAGATGGACATGTCTGTGGATAGGAAGTCAAGGCTACACTTGCTACTAATACCTAAAAAGGGTGACGAATGTTCCAGATGGACATGTGCAGAAGGTGGACAAGGTCTGCTTGGATCCAGAGCAACGCTCTGAGCGGCCCTGGGGGACAGTTGGTGACGGGAAGGGCGTGGCCAGTCCACAATGGAGATGGCCACGCAGACTAACAGGAAGCTTGAAAAACATCCTATCACCCCAAACCCGACCTCCAATAACACATCTTGTGGTTCAAACTGGCCTTACCTGCAGCCGCTCGTCGAGGGGTTGTGGTCGGCCTTCACCATCATCAGGCTGAAGGCGTCAGGACTGTGAGAACAAGAACAAGAACAAAGACGGAGTCAGAGGACGGCGTCCTGTCCACTGTCCCCCGTCCCCCGTCCAGCCAGGGACGACCGGCGCGGTCACGGCGCGGTCGGAGTGCGAGGCTCAGGCACAGCTGCAACGCGAAACCCTGATTCCAGAGCAGCCGGGCCCTGGGCCTGGGAGCCAGGACCGCGGGGGCCGCTCCATGCTCTGCGGACCCCGCTGGCCTCCCCGGCGGGCCCGCCTCTGGGTTCCCACTACCCCCGCCACTGATCTCCCGGGGCTCAGAGCTTCAGCGCGGACGGCGGCGTCACCACGAGGCAGGACAGAGCCGCGTAAATGTCAGGCATTCTAAGTTAATGAGATTCTCGAAAATCTTGGAAAAGCTGGTAATCATGATTTTAAGGTGGCAAAGCAATCATCTTGCAGAACCGAGGCCGCGAGACCCCACCTCTGGCGGGCGCCGGGCGGCTCCACCTGCAGCCCCAGCTCCCTGCCGCTGCCGCCACAGTCGCCGCCCTGCAAGTCCCGCCCCGTGGAGCCGTGTTCGCTGGCTTCGTTTCCGCTGGAGCCACTGCTCATGTCCACGTCCTCCTGGAGCACGGCCGGGCCAGGCGTGGGCTCCACGGGCTCCTGGGTGGGGCTCCTGGGGCTGGGGGCGAACCCCGCAAACTCTTTCATGTCGGCTCCCGAAAGCTGGCAAAGGAGAGAATTGGAGTCGGCCTGGAGTGCGGGCACTCAGTGCGGCCACCCACGGCCAGCCGGCTCCCCCAGTCCCGCCGAGCGTGCGGTGGCGGTCGGCGTCACGCATGGGACTCTCCTTCATTATCCCACTGAGCTCCCGCCTGCCGTGAGGCGGGAGGGCGGCTGGGCCGGGCCGGGCCGCACTGTCCCCGGCGGCGGGTTGCTGATGGCCTGTGCAGGAGGCGGCGGGAGTGTGGGTGCACGGCGCCCAGCACGTGGGGGCTCTGGGAGATACGCAGTCCCACGGGAGGGCTGGCAGGGCCTGGGACCCTGCATCTCATGTAGGTCAGAAGCCTTGCCCATCACATGCTGTGGGGGGCCCCGACTCAGTCCATGGGTCTGGCACGAGGACATAGGTAGGGGGAGGCTTTAGGGAGAGAAGAGGCTGTGGGCACAGCGGGCGGGGAGCATGAGGGTTCCAGGCACTGGGCAGTTCTAGCACTAAGCAAGGAGGTGTGAATGGGGAGCAGAGGGCAGTGGGGTGCGGGGAGGCGGGGTAGGCTGGCCAAGAGTTCATGTACTATCTGCTCATCTAGGGAATGACCAGGGAGCACTGCAGCCCCGCCGGAGGCTGACGTAACAGCGGGCATGGGGACAGGCTCGTGCCACCGTGCTGGATGGGGGCTTTACCTTCACCACTTGGGGTGGGGGCGAGGGGCTGACATCGAGCCAGCCCAGCCACGAGGCTTCTGCACTAGTCCTGGAAGAGCAAACACGGGATGGGCCAGGACCCTATGCGGGAGGGGGCTGACCAGGAGCCCGAGGACAGGGAGGCTTAGCTGTCGCAGGTGGCGAGGAGGACCCAGGAGGCTGTCTCCCGCAGGGTCCCGGCAGGAAGCAGACGCCGGCTCAGACCAGAGAGTGTCTGATGAGGGCAGGACGTGAGAGGGTGTGGTCAGGACTAGGGACCAGCAAAGCTGTGGGGCCCCGCTGCTGAGGGCAGGGAGGGGACAGCCGCTACCGGCCTGGGCCTGGCCTGGAGGGCGCAGGAGGAGAGCCCCAGAGAGCAGAGGAGCCCAGACAGCCGCAGCTGGCAGCACGGACCCGGCTGCTCTCGCCTCCCGACTGCAGAAGTCAGGAAGTCAGAGAGCCGGCCGCGGGCGCCGAGCACGGAGGGGACACATGAAGGGCCCAGGCAGCGGTGCCTTCACGGGGGAGAGTGAGGCACCCCTAGAAGGCAGAATGTGCCCACAGCGTCCATGTGCTCACAGAAACAGGCCAGAGGCCGGCAGGCACGGGCTCTGGTTGTGGTGACAGCTGCCACTTATCAATATCTCGAATCACAGACACTACGTTCAGGGCCTGACCCCCACCTATCACCGCTGTTCGCACTGCATGGAGGACACCCTTCTGGGTTCCAGTCTCTGGCTGAGAAAACAGGTAGGTGTCTTGCCTGAAGCCACCCAGCAGCAGGTGACAGCACTGGAGTCCCCTGAAGACAGACTCACGGAGGATCCGATCATCCTGCTCTTCGGAGAACAGCAGGTCTGATTAGACCTTGTATTGTTTTCACACCAACAAAGAGACAAGAACCAGCACGTGGCTTTTGAAAAGACTGCAACAGAGACAGAGGGACACAGGCTGCACGGTGTGGCGCACGGGACCGACTTCAGGACCCGCTCTGCGCCAGATCGAAATCGAGAAGTCAGGCTGAGCAAACCGGTGAGGAAGGGTGACTGAAGCCACAGACGAAAAAGCCACACGAGAACGGAAAGTTAGGAAGATGAGGTTCAGAGCCAGTATGAAGATGGCTCCACGGCGGGGCCGACGCCGACGCCTCGTTTCCACCCGCGGATAACAGCTCTTCCTGAAAAAGACTCCAGACACCGGCACTGACGCCATCGTGAAAGGAGCGCGTGAAGAAAACCGTCCCGGCTGAAGACACATCTGCACGTGCCCAGCGAAGGACGCCCTGGGCGCCAGGTGACGGGGCGTGAAGGGTGTCTGGGCTTAGCGGCACCCAATGAAAAAGGTTGTTTTCAAGGAAAAAGAAAATTCTGCCTGCATCCAAACAGGAAACACAAACAGGTCACCCACAGAGGACCGAAAGCCCCGCGGTCCTGAGCAGCTCTGCTCGACGTGGCCATGCTGTGGCTTCGGGAGACGCGGCCTCCGCGAGCCCGGAGAAGGGCGACCCCGGCCGAGGGCACATGCCCACGGGGTGTGAGGCAGCGGCCGCCTATCCACATCCCGAGCCACAGAGAGCCCCAAACGCCAGCACGAGCCAATGCGAGGCAGGACGAGAACTGGCAAGTCTACCGTTTGGTCGTTTTAAACGTTTCTTAGAAGTTCTAGCCAAGTCAACAAGAGAATGAAAGCGAATCTTTGGGAACTAGAGAGACCAAAGGTTAAGAATGGGCTAGACCCACAAAGAGAAGGACCCACGGTCTGCCAACTTCCTCGTCGGCAGGAGGCTGTCGGCGTCCCAGCGCGGGCACCCCGTCTGCCGAGGCTGCCCTGGCCTTACCCGGCCCTGGCGGCACCATGCACAGGGCAGCAAGTGAGATCCTCTCCCCACCGGCTCAGAGCAAGGCCTCCAGCTGCCTCCTGTCAGCTCCTGCCGCGGCCGACCCCTTGGTCCAGCCACTGCTCCCCGGGGACTTGGAACGTGCTGCTCCCGGTGCCCACGGGGCTCTCCTGTGCTAACGGCACCGCCTCCTCCCCCGCCAGCTCTGCGCCCGCTCCCGGCTCTCCCCTCCACGGACACCGCTGAGGCCGCACTGACCTCGGAGCTTTGATGGTTCCTGGCTGTAACCCCAGGGCTTGGCACTCACTGAATGCGTGAAGCTGGGACATCTGCACTAGGGAACACGATGCACCCATCAAAAAGAGGGAGGCCAGGCTGTGACGTGGGGACACGCGAGGCCACACAAAGCTAGCGGGAGAACGACGCTGAGACAGACAGCGCTTACGCGGGGCTCGCGCTGGGGGGGCCGGCTCTGCGCTCCCCACCGGGGGACGCGTGTGCCCCGTGCACAGCACCGACGCTGGCACCGGCGCGGAGGATGGGACGGCCATCCTCCTTGCCCTCACGGAGCTCGCTCCAGGGGAAAGCAGAG